CCCCCCCCCCCCCCCCGTAAGTCAAAAGGAACCCTTTCTCCTTTGAGGTGGCTTCTGCCAGGCATTTGGTCACAGCGAAGAAAGTAATTACATACTAAAAGTAACTAATACAAGTAGACTGAGAGTCATCAAGCAAACATCTGGATAGACGAGCAGAGACGGCTGGGACCTGGCCTGCTCTCCACACACAGTGATGGTTAGAGCCCATAGCCAAGTCTGTGGAAAATTCCGCCAGACTTCAGAAATGGCAGCAGCTGGGAATCCCAGCCTGGCTCCTGGGACTAAGATGGGACCCTGAGTGAGTAGGGACAGGAAGGAATCCATGGGTTGGGGGGGGATGCTCAAGCCAGAAACAGCATCAAAGCCTCCTGTGCTGAGAAGCTGCTTGGGTGGGGAGGGGACAAGGGTCTCGGGAGACAAGCAGGACACAGCCTAACAGCCTCCTGGGGGGGGGGGGGGGAGGCCCAGGATACCTACTGTAAGATGACATGAGGAAGCCTGTGTTCACCTTCCTGGTGGCGCTGAAGTTGGGCTCGATTTCATTTCCCTTGGGGTCAAACTTGCGTCGGTGGATACAGCTGGGCCGGATATACAGCACATAGTAGCGCTCCTGGGTGAGGCAAAGAGGAGTGAGGGGGCTACCTCCTTCATTCCCCATCCCAGTTCCGGCACACACACACACACACACACACACACACACACACACACACACACACACACACACACACACATACACACACACACACACTCAGCCCAGGCTCTCCCTGTATCCTCTGCCCACCCCACCCTCTGCCTCAGAATCCCATCATCCTACACTAATGTGTAGACCGGGCAGAGGCCTGATTTAAATATTCATTCACTCCTCTACTTACTAGAGTGCCTGTCCACATAACGTGCCACACAAGCCACGGAGGGCAACAGGAGGCCTCCAGGGTTTCCACACAACCAACGACTAAAAGCTATAACCCAAGCGCCAGGGTCCCCAAATGCCACGAGGCAGGATGGATGTTGCCAACACGCCACAGAAAGGACATGAGGACCTAAGGGAGGGCAGCCACTCTGCTGCTCTCAGATACAGGCCTGGGGCAAGTCACCCCAAGCCTCCCATGCCTCAGTGTCCCCCAACACGTGGGAACAGCATGGTGTTTTCTTTCAGAGACATTACAGGACATCACACAATGGAGGAGGAGGCACCTTGCCAAGCAAGACATGCCCTGAAAAGTTATGGGCCAGGTCTTCTCACAAAAGCGGCACAGGAACAGTGCCCAGAGCGAGACAGAAGAAGCGGATAGCACTTTTGGGACCACCACAAAAGGGGAATTCTCCAAAGGCAGAGCAACCTGCAGGTGTGGGACAAGGTGTAGGAAGAGCACTAAAAACTCCCGAGACAGGCCGGAGAATGCCAATGCTTGTCTGGCATACACCAAGCCCTGGGTTTGAACTCCAGCGCTGCATAAACCTGGTATGGTGGCACATGCCTGTGATTCCATCACTGTGGAGGAAGAGGCAGGGAGATCAGAAGTTCAAGGTCAGCCTCTGCTATACAGTGAGTTCAAGACCAGCCTGGACTATTTTTTGGATAAGACCCTACCCCACCCCCACAAAAAAAAAAAAAAAAAAAAAAGCCTGAGCTGGTCAAGAGGCCATGTGCACATCTGAGCAACGCAGACTGGTGAGAGGCCCCTTGGCAGCCCAGGCTGGACAGCGGCTGAGGTGGGCTTCAGATGGGCCTTGAATTGCCATTGGAATCCTGAAAGGCTTGGGGGCAGCAACAATACCCCCAGAGATATCTTTCTGGTAATGAGTTAGGGGCTGCGTGGGGGCCCACCAGAAGGTAGGAGGAAATCAGGCACAAAGATCTAAGAGGAACCGCTAAGGGCCCTGTGGAGGTGGCCACAGAAAGAAGAAGAGGATGGTCTCATGGAGTGTATGTCATACAAAAGCGTAGACTGAAGCCCAGCTCGGTGGGTCCACACCGCTGAGCCCAGCGGAGGCAGGTGGATCTCTAAGTTCAAAGCTAGCCTGGTCTACAGATCAAATTCTCAGGGCTATAGAGTAGCACTGTCTCAAAAGGGGGGGCGGGCATAGGCTGAGTGTAGAACCAGGCCTCGGCCCGCTTTGAGAAAGCCTGATGCTGATGCTAAGCTGAGGCTTAGAGACCAAGGACCAAGGACACAGGGTGCTCAGCACACCCCGAGGGGCTCTCTGAAAGGAGGGCAGAACCAGAACTAGTGATCAGAAAGGAGACATGGGCTAGGACAGGATGACGCTGTGCGTGGTCATGGAGACCAGGGATGTGTGGGTCGTGAACATCACCTGAGGAGCCTGTGAAGCAAAGACCGGAAGCCATCCATACAAGAGCTGCGGGCCCACATGTCAGCGTGTTAGGAGACTGTGTTCAGGCTAGATTGGGTTTGGGGCCTGGTCGGTTCCTTCAGTTGAAGCAGGGGCTCTTCCTTCAGGAACCACGCAGTCCCACCTGTCTGCTACCTAATGGGCTCTAAAAGTCCCCTTTCCACTGGTCCTGTTGGGCTGTGGCAATCTGTTCCGTGAGCCCCTCGGGAAGTGGCCTGGATCCTGTGTCTTAGCCCAGCACAAGGAGATGTCATGTGGGTGAAGGAGGAGACCCTGTGAGTGCCACCCAGGACACAGCCTCACCTTCCTGCCATGGGCATCCAAGATGCTGTGCCGAGATACATCCACCAGCTCTCCCTCCAGCAAGACGCCATTTCCCCTGGGGGTGAGAAGGAAGGCAGGTTCTGTCAGTCCTTGGGAAAGCCACACTAGGGTTTAGTGGCCTGGGTGAGAATCTGCACTGAGACCAAAAAAAAAAAAAAAAAAAAAAAAAAATCTCACCCCAGACTCTATTCACCTGTCTCTGAGGGGGCCTGGTGTGAAGCAACCACTCTGTTTCCCCCAGCGGACCCTCCGTCCCTGCAAAGAACCTTCCCAGGCTGTGCTGAGGCCGAGAGATGCCTCCCCCCTCCACACATACACCAGGAATTACTGGGAGCAGACCCTCAAGATTCTTATCCACAAATGAGGAGAAAACAGCTGTCTCCCTGTGTCCTCTGATGCTGGCCTAAGAACATGAATGCAAAGGTGGTTATGAACTATATGGGTGCTGGGAAGTGAACTTGGGGCCCCTGAAGAGCAGCAAGCCCTCTTCACTGGTGAGACATTTCCCCTATTTTAAAGAACTTTCACGTTTCTGTTCCCATTCATTCCTACACGATCATCAACCCAGGGAAATGGTTACTATCACCATAAAGCTAGAAAATTAGAGACTCAGAAGTTTGGGGGATTAGCCCAAGATCACAGGGTACCACACAGAGAAGAACCAGAGCCACCCTTTACCACTTCCAGATGCCAGCTTTCACAAAAGCAGAACCTGGGGCCTGGGGGCTTTCTTTGGAACCATCACCATTGGGAAAGAGCAGGTCTAAAAAGATAACTGAAGAGGTTGGGCCAAGACTCCTTGTCTTATATATTTTCTCCTCTCAAATTCTTTCTAAAATACTTAACTGACCAAGACAGTATACACTGAAGGCATTTAACAAGATAACTTGACATATACACACATAGTGTAATGATTCACACAATCAGATTTATGTACACCCTAGATTCTCAGAACCTACTCCTGCTTTGAACTGGAACTGCTTCACTGAAAACCTTATGAGTTGGACTTAGATTCCACTCCCTAGATGACAAGTATTTGACTTTCTGGGACCGGCTTCTTTCACGTATCGGAATTCTTTGGTGTTTCTGGCTGTAAATGGAATTATCCACCCTGCTTATTACCCCAGACAGGGCCTGTACCGCCCTCTGTTGTTTCGTCCACACCACGCACTGGTCACCGGTGGTGCATCAAGGCAAATTACTAAAGTTCAGAGCCCTGGGGTGGGGGAAAGGACTGAGGTCGGTGGGAACGGAAGCACCGCCTCAAGGAGTTCCATTTGGGAGTCTGGTGTCCCTCCGGTGGATATTCCTGTAGGCGGGAATTTCAAGAATATCTGCCTCCCGGGTGGAGAGGTGGCTTTGACTGTGCCAGTTTTCTCTCTCACCTCCAACGCCCCCTCCTCCCCGGATCAACCTCTGAGCAGGACTCAAATTCTGAGTCCTAGAGCCTAGGCGCCAGGGATGCTGCCAGACCACCCCTAGCCAACAGCAGGGGCCAGGGCCCCAGGGACCCAACATACCCGGCAGTTCCCATGCCCAGTCCACCCCTGGCTAGCAGTGAGGGGAAGCACAGCCCATCCCTAGTCAGCAGCAGGAGAAAGTGCAACCCACCCTGGCCAGCAGCCGGGTGGACACAGCACTACCCACCCCTGGCCAGCAGCCGGGCGGACACAGCACTACCCACCCCTGGCCAGCAGCCGGGCGGACACAGCACAGCCTACCCCTGGTGGGCGGCGGGGTCCCAGGCCCCGCGCAGTCGCGCGCTCTGCACCGCCTTGTTGCGGAGGACGCTGTCATGGTAGATGCGGCTCATTTTCCCCACGCCGAGGCCCAGCAGCTCCAAGAAGCAGCGGGCGCGCGGGGCGGGGCACCTCGGGGACAGGAGCCGAGAGGTCGCTGCAGCACTGGCTTTCTCAGCCTGCAGATCCCGGAACCGTGGTGCCTGCCCGGGGCGTTCCCAGGCTGGACTTAAAGGGGCCGAGCCGCATTCCTGACCGCCAGACCGTGTGCAGAGGCGCCGGGTTTTCCGAATGACTACTGTCCTTCGTGTCCTTGTAGTCTAAGACAGAAAAATCGAGGGTTCGAGACCCATTTGTACTATACAGAGACCCTGTCTCAAAATCCATCCATATACAAAGCGACACTTGAGGCTCAGGAATTGTAGATCTTTCTTAGGATAGGTTCTAGGAGGATATTTTCCCAGGGAGAGGGAAGGGAGAGACGGGAACAGCCATGAGGAACCACAGAGTGGTCTGCACAGACGCTGCCCTTTCTGCCCTTCCCGTGGTCCCGCAGCGACCTATGGGAGTTCCAGGGATGCGTGAAGGAGTAGCGGTGGGTGTCAGAGCTGCTGCAAAGGAAACCTGAATCTCTGCCGTGAGAGCGCGGCAAGTTTCTCAACCTTTCTGAGCCGGCTGGAACTCGCCCTCTCCTAGTCTTTACCTCCCACGCCTCACAGATTCTGATCAATCGCTTCTCTAGTCCCACAGTGCCCTCTGCTCACGGGTGTCTCTGCCAGTCTTTGATTCGTCACTCGCACCCAGGAGTCTCCTCTGACCTGGAAATCATTGGGAAGTCGGCTTGTTTCATTGGCTCTTTTGTGCCAAACCCTGGCGCAGGTGGCCGCATTCTGGGATGCCAGGTGTGCCCCTGCCGGGGAACAATGGAGAAGTGGCCCGGCTGATACCCAAGAGTCCAGGGTGAGATGTCGGTGTTGGAAGAAGCTCTCTCTCCCGTACTATATGACCACACAATGATCTCAGCCAGTGTGTGTGTGTGTGTGTGTGTGTGTGTGTGTGTGTGTGTGTGTGTGTGTGATGTCAACAAACTTTATTAGTGGAAGTGATTTTTAAAAAGGAAAAATGTTTTACTTTTTCGAGATTATAATTACATTTCTCCCTTCCTTCCCTTCCCTTCAAACGCTCCTAAATACCCTTCCTTGCTCTTTCAAATTCATGACCTATTTTTAAATTAATTACTACTGTATGCATATAAGTGTATACACATATATATTCCTAAATATAACCCTCTCAGTCTGTATAATGTTGCTCTTATGTATGTTTTCAGGGCTGACCACTTGATTTTGGATAACCAGTTGGTGTGCTCTTTCCTGGGGAAGACTGGTTCTCCCACTCCCAGCATGCCTCAGTTTCTTTCCTGTAGTTCTTTGTGTAGGGTTGAGGTGTCATGGGCTTTTCCTCATCCACTTTGGCATGTCTGTTGGTGTGGTCCATGTTCAGCTCATGTTTATGCCGTCATGTCAGAGGGAATTAACGGGTGTAGCTTCTGACATTACCAGGACACGCGGTCTTACAACGAGCTCCCTGATCCAGTAGGGATCTTACAGTTTTTCTGCTCCTTCTCCCTCAACGTTCCCTGAGCCTTAGATGCAGGAGAGTTTTGTAGATTTATCCACTGGGACTGGGCTGACAACTCTCTATCTTGATTGGCTGTGGTTTTCTATAGTGGTCTCCATCTATTGCAAAGAGAAGTTTCCTTGTTGAACAGTGGAGACTTCAGTTATCAATTAAATACAGCCAGGGAGGCTCCAGCTTGAAGTGGGATGAAACCAGCCACTTGGTTTTTAAGGGCCCTTTCTCCTTTAACAAAATATAAATCTTTTTTTAGAGACATTGTTTTATATATTCTAGGCTGGCCTCAAACGTGCTATGTAGCCCAGGATGACTTCAAACTCCTTTCTCCCTACACTACCTCCCAGTTGCTAGGGTTACAGGTGTAGGCCATCACCACACCTGGATTATTTGGTGCTGGGAGATCCATCCGGGACTTCATGCACATTAGGCAGTCTTCCCAACTGAGCCACATCCCCAGCTCCAGAAATACAGTTTTGAGAATCCCTAAAAATATAATGGGCCCTAGGCATAGTGCCTTCGATGGGTCAGCCCCAGCCCACGTCTAGTCTGTCAGGCAGCTCTGAATATTTCCCAGAAGGAAAGACAAAGATCCTCTGGGCAAGACTGGCCCTCTCTCTCCCCTCAAAAGTTCTGGGCAGCTCCTAGGCACGGGATGGGCCTGCCTCCTCTTTCTTCCCCCTCCTGGGTCATTGTCCCTTCACAGTGGCCCTAAATTGGCACTGCCCTCTGTGGCAGCTACATGTAGCTATTTAAATTTTATTTTAACAGTGCTGGAAATAGACCCCAGAGTGTTTGTGCATGCCGGACAAGTGTTCAACCACTGAGCCACACACCAGCCTAAATCATAAATATTAAAGTCCAAGGGGCATCACCTTTGCGAAGTGTACTGGTTCCTGCCTGTAATCCCAATACCTGGGACACAGGGGAACTTAGGAAAATTGCTTAGGCCAGCCTTGGCCACACTGTGGGTACCAGGCTAGCAGGACTACACTGTGAGACTCTGTCTCAAAACCCCAAAATAATAATAAGAAATTTAAAAAGTAAGTCTGCACACTTCCGTGGCCACTAGTCATATGTTCGGGGGAAGGATGTTTGTTTTTGGTGGTGGTGGTTTCTGTTTTATTTTTGTTTTTGTTTTTCTGTTTTGTTTTTTGTTTTTGTTTTGAGACAGAGTCTCACTATGTAGACTCATCCTGTAACTCACAGAGATCCTCCTGACTCTGTCTCCTGAGTGCTGGGATTAAAGATGTGTGCCACAAGGGGACCCACACTGTTCCCCCAAGCAGATAATGTATGTGCCTTGGTCTCCTCTTCCCTGCAACTGTGAGCCCCTGCTGGGAGCAAATACCTGTGCATGAGTGAATGAAGGCATTACGGATGTCCCCAAGTCTAAAAAAAAAAAAAAAAAAGTGTGCCACTATGCCAGGCAGTAAGTCACATTGTAAAAAAAAAAAATTTAACCATTATTGTGGCTGGAAAGATCAGTTAAGACCATGTTCACTGCTTTTCCGGAGATCTCAAGTTTGATTCCCAGCCCCCCACATGGCAGCTCGCTACTGTCTGTAACTCCAGTTCCAGGGGTCCTGACACCCTCACACAGACATGCATGCAGGCAAAACACCAATGCACACAAAATAAAAATAAATAATAAAAGCATTTTTAAAAAGAATAAAAATGAATCAAAAAGAATATAATTATTAATCTGTGTATATAATAAGGGGGTTGGGTCTGTGTGTGCCACAGAAGAACAAGGGTGGGGTCAAAGGACCACCCTGTGGAGTCCGTTCTCGTCTTACACCTTCACACAGGCTTCGGGGGTTAACTCAGGTGGTCAGGGCTGTGCAGCAAGTGCTTCCCTAGGGACCTCACTGCAACCGCTGGCTGCGGGTAGTGCCTACCTCTTCAGAATGCACGCATACAATATCTCTTTTGTCTCCCCTCACATGGCAGGGTGTTGACCCTAGGACCTCACATGCTAGGCAAGCGCTCTAACCCCACATCTCCAGACTCTACAACTTCGAGCCATCAACATAACCTGCAGACCACCAACCATAGAGGCAGAAGAACCTTCTTTTTGGGAGGCGAGGGGAGGCTGGTTGAGTCTGGTCTGCTCTTTTGCTTCTGTTGTTGTTATTGTTTTAAGATAGGCTCTTGTGAGGCAGTGGTGGCGCACGCCTTTAATCCCAGCACTTGGGAGGCAGAGCCAGGCGGATCTCTGTGAGTTTGAGGCCAGCCTGGTCTGTAGAGCGAGAT